TTTCCATGGAAATCGATCCGAAAATCTTTAATCAACAGTAAAAACTCCATTGGTTGCAAGCTGGTGGAGACTTTGTTGCGATAATTTTATAGTAAATCAGACATTTTCATATTCTGAAAAATCTGGAAAAAAAAGTATGGCAAAAAGCGTGTTGTTTCACTCCATAGTGACGGAAAATGCTGATTATAAAGTTTCATTGTATTAAAAAAATGCTTGTTTTTCCATTTTCATGCTATTTTTTTCCTATGAATTAGTATGAAACTGTATGCTAAACATTTTTTGTCATACAGGACTCTAAATGAATCAAACCCTATATTTGCGTTTATTGTGTTGGCTTAAATTTTTAAAAACCAATTGTCACTTTCTGCTAAAATTTTTAATATAAAATATTGATAGCATCTGCTAATTACCATGACACTTCTTATCTTTCAAATCTAAAACAACTCCAATTATGTTTTCCAGTTTTAGGGAGTCATCTAATGAACCGATGGTTTTTTTTCTGGGGACCCATCTGTCATACTTGTACCTGTATGGGTCAAAACTGCCCATTTTAGCTGTAATGGCAGGCCAGCACACGGTGATTAATGACTGGTTCCTTTCTCGATTTCTTTCATCTGAGCTGAACAGACGTTCGACTGCAATCTCATTCGTTATAATCTGATCTCCGAATTGAATCGAAATAGTTCTAGGACATGTTTGAGTGCGTTCGAATGGGCAAAAAAACGTAGAACCCAGGCATGTAGTGCAATATTGAAGTGTATAGTTGAGATGAGAAATTGGATTTTGGCCATTAAAACATTTCACTGTGCTGTCATGTTCAAATCCCTCAGGTTTCTTCAGTCTGGTGAGAAAAAAAACAACAGGTTTTATAGAATTCAGCCTTTCGTCGCAAATAGCTCGCCAGATGAGAACAAACACTGATTTTTTGCTACCATTCACAAAAACTTTATGTTCCTGCAGTTTATTGTCGTGGTCCCAGAACAAAACAGATGTTTTAAATTTTGGTTTGATGATTTTTTTGCCCATTCCATTAGATTCATGTAACAAGTGCATTTGAAGATAAAGCAAGGCGAACACTGCTAATAGGAATGAACATCGAAATATTAAGCTCATAATTTGGTATTTTTTCGTTCCTCCGCCTCACAGAATTAATAAATTTCATTGATAAGAATCTTTGTTCACAAAGTTCCATTTGCAGTTATTGAAAAAAAGTTATCTGAGCAAATTGCACAAATGCAAACAGATTCGGTCGGCATTTAAAAAATTTTTTTCTGATACCATTTACGTAGGTTCTGTCCCTTTGTTCCACTTTTATTTTATCTAATACACTAGTGCACAAAATTTAGCGCAAATTCAGGATTTCATTCTCTAAAATGCCTGTTTTCAATGTCAATTTTGGACAAAATTTCCTTCAAACTTCAGTAAAACTTTTACATAAACCAAGATCAAATGACCAGAACTAACCTCTAAGAAACTATCAGTGTTTGGTTTCAATAACTTGCCAATGTAATCCGGGTCTGAAAACGCCTGTTATCTTCATCTGTACTAAGTTTTTCACTTCGCGCGAAAAGTAAAAAACTGCCGAGTTTGGTAAAGTTTTCACACTAATTATTTCAATTTTCTCGCTGAGAATGTTTCACGTCGCATGAACGCCTTTTTTTTACTCGAGAAAGAATTCACTGCGATGCAAACCTTAGTGCCGAAGAAGAAATCTGGCATTGAAATACTGATAATTTAATAGAGGGTAGTATCATAGAGGGTAGCTCTGATCATTTGCTTTGGTCTATGTAAAAGTTTTGCTGGAAATCGACGTAAGCGTGGTTTAAAATGGACATAAAAATGGCATTTTAGAGAGTAAAATCTGAATTATGTCCACTAATATTGTCCATTAAAGTAATCGAACGGGGGAGGGAGGAAAGGAAACAGTCTAAGAGAGGTGATAATCTTAAAATCTAACTAAGAAAAAATTACCGATTTTATTTGTAAATAATTGAATCGATTTTTCATTGCATTTGCAACAGCCTCTTCTTCACACTGAAACATACTAGTTTCACCAAAAAAAAAACATCAAAGTTTTCCACAAAAAATATTTAATAGGAAACCCGTTGCGCAAACGAAGATGAGTTTGATTGTCAGCGAATGAACTTTTTTCGCTGAATTCCATTGCAGCAAATATTTTGTCAAAGTTTTGTAAAAGTCAACATTTCTCATTGAACTCGAGGTGGCAAAACCACTTACACATGTAAGAGGGTTTGGCTGTGGAATTCAGAAGCGAGTGAGCACAATTTTGTGCTCTGTTATAAAACAGAGTTTGACGTACGAAAATTCTACAAACAACTATCAAGAGGAAAGTTGGCTGGTACTGAACTGAGCGCTACATTGATTTACTAGTTATGTATGAGTAAATAAACATGTGCATACATGGTCACTGCTCATTTTTTGTTTTGTTTTATCTGGCTTATTGACTGGGGGCTGTTTTTGACTGGGATGGGCTATGAAAATAAAACCCAAACAATAGGTGGTGTGATCACAGTTAAACGTTTCATTTCATTATGATCACAATAAAAAGTTTTTCAATTACTAAGTCAAGGTAGGTAAAAAAATGGAAAACAGCCACAAAAAAAATATATTTCGCATCTATCAAAACATTATTTGGATTAACTGGTTGCCTCTATTGTATATGAATTGGCTTTCAAACCGGAATAGTTTGCCGCATCTGCTAGGCTTAAAAATAATAAAGAAGTTTTGCTCGCAGAATAATTTAGCGGCAAATTTCGAACTCCTATAACTTCAGAAAAAACAGCTCCATACGCGGTTTTTTAATTGTTATTAATTTATTGTTTTAAAATTGTTATTTCTCAGATGATAACAGATTTTTGTCAAAAATTTGAACTAAATGGGAACATGCTGTAAGAACCACTGCTAGCATTTTTTTCCCGTCATATTTCTCGAAAGTCGCAACATCATAAAAGTTTTTTGTCTGCGTGAAAAACTAACTGTTACAATAATTTTATATAATGACTGCTCCAAGCAAATTGTATTAATGTATGATGAAAAATATCCGTGATGAGCAATCGTTTTTCAACAAATGTTAAGCGTGGAAGCTCGCTCAATGATAAAAAAAGTTCGAAAAATCAGTAACTGGTAAAATTACTTAATAAATTGTTTCCATTAGATGATCACAGGGAAAGATGGGAACCTTCATTGCATTTTGTTCTGAATCTTTTTTCATTTAGTCAAGTTGAGTGCGTTCATCCCAAGTTCATCGAAAAAAAAAAACCAGTAGGTGAAATTTGTTGCATGAACAAAACTAGTTAATCTACTGCGTGTGTTCAATCAGCGTGGAAAATTTTTAACATGCAGGCTCGCAAATGATCCGCAGAGGTAGTTTTTAAAGAGAGAAAAGCAAATGAAAAATAAACAAGCATGAACACATAAATTTTTTGCTGACTAAAAAGTTTTTGCAACTGTTTTTCACGCATTCGGAAAATTGGTTCACTATCCTCGGGCCTGGTTTTTGAAACAGTTGTCTACGTTCCTAAAAAACTCCGGGCGGGAACAATTTCAATTATTTCAATCAATTGAGTATTCTAAGACATTTAAAACACTCTTCTAACCTGCCCTTCCCTGTAAGAGTACGTCTAGGAAAATTAACTTGGCCTGTAATTTTGTCAATATACTTTTTCAACTCAATGGGCTAACTTTTAAAAAAACTTCGGATTCAACTAAAACTTAGGCGTTTAAACATATCGAACGCTTTGTAGTTTCATGCTGGTCACCCAATCATTTCGGACAAACTTTTTATGGTTCGCCTAAAAAAAAACATTTTTCAGTTAACATTCGACGCAATTTTTGAACGAAAAAGTTGATGTCTGATGAGAGAAATTTTGGCTCTCTACTTTCTTTGAACAATCAATTTCTAATGCGAAACTTTTGTTTGTGATTTTCCTGTACGGCAGCATGAATTGTGAAAAACTACAAAATTAGATGAGCAACGCGAGTTTTTTTTTTAAATTTTTTTATCGATTGATGAATCATACTATACATGACGAGGCAAAATGCAAACTGCATATTTTTTCAAACATAGTTTTCATTGATGAGCAATTTTTGTGATCACTGCTGTGTTCAAAAGTTTATTAGTTTTTGAGATATAAGATGATGTAAGATGAACCTAATGATTCAAGATCGATTTGATGAGACAAAATTTGAACCAGGCTTAATACTTGTAGGTATAACTAACTAATTAAGCAATAAAATTATTTATTAGTTTTGGAAATTGTTTTGTAATTGTTTTTGAAGTTAATCATTTTCAATTTTTTGTTGTTTTTATGATTGAAGTTTTTTTCTAGTTGTGGTGTGTTGTTTGTTTCATTACCTGTTTGTTTTAATATATATTTGGTACTTTTTAAGAAATCCATTTTTGGCCGACCGACGTCAAAATTTCTCTAAAGGCGCCTTTGGCGCCAATATGTACTATATGCTAACTTTAAGGGGGAGTGCGCGCCAAAAAAACGCGATTTTTTTGTCAAAATTTTCGGAAAAATGCTCAACAACGGCTTTTTTGACCTGTTTTTTCAGCGGCGCAGAAAATTTGGCCAAAACAGGGTCTTTTACTGCTTTAGAAGAGCTCGGAAAATCAATTTGGTCGACCTAAAAAAAAGGTCGTCAAAATTTTCGAAAATTTTTTGAAAATCGGCCCCCCCCCCCCCCCCCTCGAGAAAATCCTCTAGACAATCCTAGACCTTGGTTTTATGCATGCAAAAAAACTGCCGAATGCTTTCAGGCTGATGTCCAATTTCGGACCAAGCGAACAATCTCGCACTTAAATGAGTTCACGTGATATAAATTAATACTTTTTGCTTAGTAAAAAGTAATACTTTTTAGCCAATCAGATTTGAGCGTAGTACTTGCAGGTCTGACAAAAAAAAAACAATTCTTTTTCTTGGTTCGCGAACTATTTATTTCTAATTGTTTCTTCAAATTCCAATAAAGTTTTCCATTTAGCACCAAGTGAAGTACTTTTTGATGTATTCGTCCGTGAGTACAATTTGGAACTGCTCTTTTGTCAGTCCAGTCAGAATCTCCACTCCATCTGGCTCCCCTGGCAGGATGATGGCCATGCCAGCTAAGTGTTTGGATGCAACTAGGAACTAGAAGGAAACAGGACAGTCGTGCAATCTTACCATTGGGGGGACAATTTTTCCTGTAGGGGGTTGTTTTCGAAAAAATTTTGTCGATTATTTCAATTATAGCAACAATTTATAATCAATTTGTTAAATTAGTCGATAAAACTCTCCGAAAAGGACACTTTAAAATTAAAAACAGCCTTATAATTAAGTTTTGATGACGTTTTATTTTTTGAGAGTGTGAAGGAACAAAATCGGTGAAATTTTTTCAGTTTTCTGCTCAAAACTTGATCGGGAATCCCTAAACAAACTGAAGTCATTGCGCTTCTATACATTTTTTTTTTCAAATTTAATTGGCTCAAACGGTTCACGAAAAATAAAAAAAATTGAACGACTGATTCCTTGCGTGGTCTGCCAGACCCCATGTCTCCGTCCTTGTACCAGTCGAAGTACTGGTTCCAGTTCGTAACTGAGAAGTCCAGCGGCTGGTGGCCAGAGGAGAACTGCACGTTGTCTGCTCCCTCCCGCTCCACGAAGTTCACAACCGACTGCATGTACGGCTCAGAAACCTGAACACGCTACGTTTTGGCCACCTAATTATCATTTCGGCTCTTTTTCTGTCCTCCTCCGTGTGAAAGTGTTTATCAATTTTTTCTTAGATTGTCTCATGATTATAAATCAATTTTGGCATGTCAACTAATTACCCAAAAACAAACATATTTGATTGAATCACTAGTTTATGACCACAAAACAGATGTTTTTTTTTTGAGTCGCAATCAAAGGTAGTATAAGAAATACTGGATATGTTTCCTTGGGCCAAATACTGGACAGTTTAACAATATTTGTAGCAATTTTTACCAAATACTTCAACAATTTTTACTTCAACAATTTTCGGTTCGTTCATTATTCGGCGGATTTGTTCACACTCGCCTTTCACCAACCTTCAGTACTGACTTTCTAATCCTACAGGCTGTTCTATAGGCAGAATCCTTACACAGTTTCTCCTTGTGACAAGAGGTGTACACTATGAACATGGCGTTTCCGAAGTAGGTTCTCGGAAGGGGCGGCTTCTTCCGGAATCTCCCGTTGCACGCCAGTTGGAACACTGAGACGTCCCCCGGTTTTGCATCCCTCAGTCCTTTCACACAGGCTCTCCACAACACACTGGAATGGTAACCGAATTCGTGGAACCTCGGTCACCGAGAATCTTACAAAAACTTTTCGTGTTTTTTGATGAACTTATTTGGGACACAAAATTTGGGACACATCAAAATTTTTATATCAGAATAATTCTGAGGATAGAAAAATGACACTATTCAGCTATTTTTTGAGAAAAAAAATTGACAGCTATTGTTAGCAGATAAACAACTTTTTTCTAAAGACCCCAAAGTTGCCTCCTAACTTTCACTTCATCAGAATCGAACACAGTAAATTAGATTTATGCTTGAGTGCCGCCCATGTTTGAAAAATAGTTGCGACAAAAATGTCTGAAAAACTGTTTTAACATGAACATAATGCAATGATATTTTGCACAGCGGACAACATAACTATTTTGAACAGTTTTATTCTCTATACTTTACATGGTAACATCATGCGTTTAGCTTTTACGGCACATAAAACAACTCTAACAAATAAAAAAAAATTGAAATGTGGGAGAGGGGCGTGGAGTAATTCCAAAAATTTTTTAGAAATTGGTCGAAAAAAAGGACTTAGCTGAAAACAACAGGAAGGAAGTTTTAAAAAAAACGAATTTACCGGTCCCTTCTGACTGACTGACTGAGTGACTTACCTGGCGACGCAGTCGTTGGTAGAGACGGGAACTTCATTGGGGTGTTTGGAGCATACCTGCTGCTTCATCGCCTCCAGACTCTTCCGCGATATCTGGAACCGGATGTTCATCCGGGGATTCTCCACCGAATCCTAATTTGAAAGCTTCTTTAATAATCCACCAAAAAATGACACAATAGCTTGAAATAACGTCTAGAGATGAAACTTTTTCAGGCAGAGGCCTAGAAGTGGGGGTAGGATAGCTAAAAAGATCTAAAAAATATATATATTCTTGCAAAAACATAAAAATCAAAAAAATTTGTATCGGCGGAAATTGCCGTTGTTTTATGCAATATGATTAGAATTGTATTAAGCAATGAGAAAATGGCCAGATTAATGCAGCCGGATGTCAGATATAAAATTGCCTTAATGAGTGCCTCCCATTTGCGCTGGGTCTCCTCTGACTTGGCGATCTCAAACTCCGGATGGGACTGGACTTTACTGTTGTCCGGTTTGAAGATCTCACACCTTCTGAATACTTGAAGCTGAAACAGGAAACATGCATGGAGTCGAAAAAAGTTGTGTAATTGAACACTTTTGACTCTTCCAAAAATTAATGGCTGACCAAATAATTTTACAGACGATTCGTGCCGGATATCTCGCACGCAAAGTCCCGTAATGAATAAGACATGCCCAATTTAGTGGGGGGGGGGGGGGGGTGGTTTGGGCGGAACACTAGATACGCTCCTGCATGCACAAAAAGTCTGATGTGCAAATTGTGTCACAGTCGAATAAAAACTTTGGATGAATGCATTTGTTGCTCTGTTCTTCTCTGCTTCGTAAAGTTCTTAATGATGTTTCAAAAAATGGCGGTAAAAAGTTTTTTCTTTTAATTTTGACACTAATGCATACCTGTGACTCTTTGAAGGCAAAAATGTTTCTCCTGACCATGCTGCAGAGGTCGGCAGTGAAGACATACATGGAGTTGATGTCGCATACCTGGTAGTGGAAGCCCAGCCCCACCACCATCCCCCCTCCCTCCAACTGCTGCACACGCACTCGCAACAGATAAGCCCTAAATAGGTCACACGACAAACGGGTCAAAAACAGACCTGCCGCTCGATACATCTGGGTAAAACTCCTAGTGAATCATTTTTGGACTGTTTTGTCAGAATTTTGCCTGCAGAGAATGGCAAAAAAAAGGGTATACATCTTGTTCGAGAAAACCCTAAATCTGTCCCTGGTAGGCTTCAATTGATAATTTAGTTCATGCCGTGGCGGATCTAAGATTTTCTTGATACGGGAGGGGGAAGATTTTTGAAAGACTTTTTGTTTAGGCCGACCAAATTGAAAAGACTGAAGAGACCCTGTTCTGGCAAAATTTTCTGCGCCGCAGGCTAAATTTTGAAAAAACAGGCCAAAAAGGCGTTTTTAGGCTCTTTTTGGAAAATATCTACCGCGCGCTCCCCCCTCAAAATTAATATATATATTGGCGCCGAAGGCACCTTTCGAAACATTTAGGGCCCGTCAGCTAAAAATGGATATCTCAAAATAGTACAAAGGGGGACCCTTTGGGTCGGCAGGGTGTCGAATCCCTGAGAAGGAGGGGGGAGGGGGGAGGCAGACGGCCTTCTACCCGCTCCCCCTAAATCCGCCCCTGCGCGCATGTATAAATAGCTTATTTGAAAATCGAAAACTGCGCGCGTGCAGTATGGATTGTTGGAAATAAACCTACTTATCAATGCATTGTGACATTGAGTCTCCTAAATTTGCTTCCAAGTCTTCCTCGTCATCATCAGCACAGAAAGAAGCGAACACAAAGTCATTTTCGAACTGCTTCTCTTCCAGTTCCTTCAGACTGACTGCTGATGGGTCCAGATATGTCAACAGAGCCCCCTGGTTGCCCAGATCAACTACTGGCTCTGTTTGGTTTGCTGGAATCACTATTCTGGGAAAAAAATACCGAATTGAGGGACTAAGTTAACATTCTTCCAAAGCTTCTTTTAGAGGAAAGATTTTAACTTGGTTCTAAGTTGGAAGTTCCAGCTTATCAGAATCGAGCATTTCACTTATCGGAGTTGAGAACTGCGTTCAATTTTTGTTACAACTTCATCGATATAATACGTTAACTATGAAGATTGTCTCCAGGTTGTGTTTTTTTTTACCTTCCCGCTAGTTCGCCATATCGAGAGAGTGTCTTGGACAATGCGCGTTCCAGCTTGGTCCTGTCCACTGAGTAGCTGTAGAACAGAGTCGACCATATATGGAAGGGGGGCATCAGTTTGTCCAGATTAGAGAGTGGACTCCTTTTTATGTCTCCCCACCTCTCCGGCTTGTCTGCCTTAACCACCACTTCGATTTTACTAACTCCAGTCATCCGGATCTGTTACGGTTCTAATTTATTTTCTATCCCGTGTCCAGTGCTTTTGACAAGGTTTTAAAAGAGAAAAAGATTATTGTAAAACACGTTTCTGCAGTTCGCAGTCAGCAAAAATCATTGCTTTTCTTTGTTTACTTGTGTTGATGCATTGATGTAATTGTTTGTGTACCCGTGTTGATGCATTGAAAGTGAATAGAGCTTCAAGATCATTGATTTCAGCTCAGCAGGCATTAGAGGCATGCCTACTACGTATTTAGTGAGTTCAGGAGAAAACAGAATATTGATTTTTTCTCAATTGGGGTTTTGGGTGGCGAAAGCTCCATAAACCGTTTGGGTTAATTTCTCCGCAAAGAAACTGCTTGTCTTCCAATTTCATATATTGAGTGTATGAAAAAGATTCATCGTAAAAAATTACAGAGAGCTTAAAAGTGAATTTACAGACTTTAAAACAAATTATTAACTATTCGAAGATTTCGAAGCTTTCTGATCATCAAGAAAATGATTTAATGCTTATCATAAAACTCTATGTGAAATTTACATGGATAAAAGTTGTATGATAATTTTTCAAAAATAATCAAAGTTGAGGTGAACAATTTTTCATTTTTTTGATCGCAAACTTATTTCAGTGCCTAGTCCATTGTACTCAAATCTGAATTTTCACAAATATGATCAAAAAATGACAGAGAAGAGGTATGATTATACATCTAAATTCAAACAAGGATAGCCGGTAACTGTGCAAGTAGCACAAAATGTTCCGACCATAGTCTTAAAAAATACAATAAACTTTTTCCAATTTTTTCAACAAAATAACATTGTCTGGAATGTGGGGAGATAATACAAATGGACTATCCTCGACATGACTGATAGCTCCTCTGCGATTCGCAGGAACTACAATTATTTTCCAATTTATTGTCGTTTTTTTTTCGGCGTGGTGTGATAAAAGGAGCCGAACAAAAAAACTGGGAACTAGGATTAGGCAGAAACTTGGTAGCCATCCTAAAATAACAAACTGAAACACAAACTTTGTAGAAAAATTACTAGAAAAACGAAAAAAAATCAAAAAACTTTTCAAATTTTTTGCAGTTTTTTGAATTTTGAAACTTTTGATTCCAAAAAGGCGTTTAAAAAATTAAGTAAACTAACGTTATCAAAGTAAAATTAAGTTCTTACGTTTTAAATTAAGCTCCTGTAAGCTTTTACGCTTTTAATCAACGATAAGACTGCTCGCTCGCTTTATTCGCCCGAAATAAGACAAAAAATCAAAAATTTCAACCCGCTTTTTATTGACACTGGGAAAATTTTTTTGAAATTTTTTTAAGTGGTTCGAGTCACGACTGAAAGAGTTTAAATGAGATATAATATTCAACCCAGTCCGATAATTTTTTCGGGTACTTAATTTTGCGTGAAAAACAGAAAGAAAAAACTAAAACACCCGATTACAAAGTTTCTCCCCGTTTTTAATGGTTGGAAAACAATCAGATCAATTTTTATAAACACTGAATTTTTCACGAAACAAATTTTCTATCCTTATACCAAAAAAATTCTTTTCGTACGCAAGTCTGTGTGAAAGTGATTAATTGGCTGTTTCCCAATTTTGCAAAAAATAACGAAATTTTTGTGATCGGGTATTTTTTTCATCAAGGTAACTTCAAGTCATTAGCTAATTGTTTTTGATGATTTTTTTAATCTAAAAATTATTAATGTCATGAGTCCAAATGTGAAGACAAGCATTTTACTTGTGATCGTTTTTGAAATGTTATGAGGGCTTGAAATTTGCAAACACGACCAATTTGGGATAATTTTTAGCAATATACTTCTTGCTGTCAACGTGCGAGCAATTTAATCCGTCTCCAAAACTGCTCTAAAGTTAAGTTATTTAAATTAATTCTTCACTTCACTGCAGGGGCAGATCTAAGATTTTCTCGAGGCGTTCGGATTTTCAAAAATTTTGTCGACCTTTTTTTTAGGCAGACCAATTTGATTTTCCGATTTTCCGAGCTCTCCCGAAGTACTAAGAAGACTCTGGTTTGGCCGCAGGCGAAGTTTCTGCTCCGCAGGCAAATTTTTGAAAAAAGGCCAAAAAGGGCGTTTTTACGCACTTTTTAAAAATTGTTGACCAAAAAATCGCGTTTTTTGGCGCGCGCTCTCCCCTCAAAATTAGTATTTATTGGCGCCCAATGTGCCTCTAGAAAAATGTAGAGTTCCGTCAGCCAAAAATGGATTTCAAAATAGTTCAAAGGGGGGATCCTTTGGGTGGACAGGGGGTCTAATCCCTGAGAAGGAGGCGTTTGCCCCCCACCCCCCCCCCCCCAATCCTCCCCTTGTTCACTGTATGCAAAAAATATTGTCTTTAAGGTAGCGATTCTTATTTAAAATAGTCCTTCCATATTTTGAAAAGTTCATCGTTATTTTAAATTATACCCTGGTACATAGACCTTAAAGGGCAATCGAAACAATCTGGGCGTCGCCTTGATACGAGCAGCCTTGTGGTGTTTTCATACGAAACGCAAAATCATAAAGCGGAAATGCTATTCATAGAAAATTCATCAAAGAAAAACAGCTGATCACTCAAATTTTTTGTATAAAATTGCTTATCACACAGGTTTCATATAAGTTTTTGTAACTAAGAATAGGTAATTAAAGGATGATAAATTTTTCTTATCATGAAATGGTTGAACCGAAATTTTGTTCAACCCGGGTTATTTGTTGCAATATCAAATCACTCAAAGTTGATACATACAATTCCACAAATATACAACATAAAGTCGTATAAACTTGCGACATTAAGTTTATTTACTTGCGGTTTGTTTTTGGTCAACTTTAGTTTGATTTTACAGCGCAAGTTTTGCGCAGGTTGAGGTTATTTTACTGTTTATCTGTCAGTTTGTTTATTTTGTTAATCTTAATCAAACTTACATGAAGTTTTTGCTAACTGCTCTCCGAAAATTATTGCGAAATCAGACAACTTGGGTACACAAAAAGAATAAATTGCGCAAAATTTCGGAAACAAGTGGCGCAATGATATTTGGAGAGCAGTTAATTAAACAAATTCATGTGAGCCTGAGAAAGATAAGCGGTATAAATAACATAACAACAGAACCTCAAACACTCTCCTTTGTGATTCTGTCAAAATATCATACTTCTTCGAAATAAAAATTCTTGAATTTGAAATCAAGCTTTTAGCGTGTTTGATTTCGCATCCTCATCGCATACGGTAAGATTTGACCCACATTTTTTGACCCAAGTTTCACCTACATTTCTTTTAAATCAAAGATGTTCGGATCAACCGGAAGATGTAAGATCTGTTTTCGGATCAACTGACCAACTATTAGGTTTTGATCAATAATTAACTCGAATCGCTACTATCGATTCTGATTGCCCAAAAATTCGAGTTTGAAACTACCTTGGCATCCTCCCATTATAACTCGGGTGGGAGAGGATGGTGATTGGTTCCTGACGAAAGTACCTCCATAACAGAGGAAAGCAAGTATATCATCAACTAAGGCTCAAGTACTCAAAATTCAAAAACCTAAATTAAACTATATAAGCTAGTTAAAATTTTTTTTCATACATACAATAACATCGTTGGCCCTACGGTGTTTTTTTTTGCTGGAAAGATCCGAAAATGGTTCTAAATTGAAATTTACTTGCAATCAAAACCGCGTTTTTACCCGGTCAAACTAATTGATAAACAGTTTGTGGATCACAAATTTATTTTGTGAGCAAAAGTCGTATTATGAAACTTATTTTATACGAACTAGTTACTTCTAGCAATGAACCAATTAGAATAAAAAAAACTAATATAAAACATATAAAACTTGAAGAAAACTAGTCTTTCGATCACACATAAATACTTTGGTTGCCAAAACTTTTTTTTCGAAATTTTACCCTATCGAACATATTCTCTGTATTCGTTTTTCGATACTCAAGCCCTTTCTTTTCAAAATTTGTGTCTTCCAGTGATCTAATCAATCAAGTTAAATAATATATAGACTTTTGGAGCAATTCTGGATGAAATTCGCAACATCTAGTCATGAACAAACGTAAATAATTAACTGATTTAAGGCCGTATTGGATCGATATGCCGGAAGTTTGCAAAAAAAACGAAAAAGTGCAAAAACTTAGCGCAAACTAGCATTTTTAAACGAAAAACCGTTTGATTTTAACCGAAATTTTTGTTTTTAAAGCAGAACTCTGGTTTTGATAAAAAATGCTACAAGAAGATATTACCGTGAGTGTATACAGTTTTTAATAATTTAACTCTAACTAACTTTAAAAAGAAAAGGAAGTTGATTGATGTTAAAAATTAATTTTGCAGGTATTGTAACAGCAAAATTATGTCAGATGTGAGTTAAAGACAATCGAGTTGGTAGTTCACTCATTCTTGGTGGTTCTATAAAAAGTTTATTTCGATTGAATTTCATTATCTATCCTCAAGCATATACTTAATCGACAAAAGAATCATATTAGCAGCAAAAGTAAGCATCAAAATCCGGTTTTGATTTTTTTCAAAGGCACAAGTGAATTGGCGCTTTGGGAATAATTATCAAAAGTATTGTTTTTTTTTCAGCCAGATTTTCTATTGATTTCTAGACATTTTCCGTTATGACGCTGCTGAGTCTATGATGCAATTGGTTGTTTGAACTGTACGGATTTTTCAAAGTTTGTTTTGCTAAAATCTAGACATTTTGTTTCCTGTTTTTGAGGATAAGTAAAACGAACTAGAGGTATTTAAAAAATCAAAATCCAACAGTCTGTTGAAGGGTTAGAACTTTAAAAACATTTTGAAAACTGCGGATTTTTGCATTCGGGTGTGTTTTAGTGTTTTTTTTGTTTTCCACGCAAAATCAGGTACCACAAATAATCTTCGGACTTGTTCGAGTAATATATCTTATAAAAACCCTTTCAGTCGTGATTTAAATGAACTTAAAAATTTCAAAAGTTTGACAGTGTCAAGAAAAGCCGGTTTGAAGTTTTTGATTCTAGTTTCAAACTTA